AGTAGATTCTTTTTTTTTTTTTTTTTTGGTACTAGGGATTGAACTTGGGTCCTTGCGCTTGCAAAGCAGGCCACTGCACTGCTGAGCTAAATCCCCAGCCAATAGATTCATTTTTGTAGTTGCTGTTAAAGGAGCTCTTGGGAGCCAGATGGATTTAAGCATGGCAACAGATTGAATTGCTAGAGCCAGTGGACAGGAAAAAGTCAAGTGTCTGGCTTGTCTCTGAGGAATATGTTAAAAGATCCTATGTGAATACCTGAAACCACGTAGTTCCTAACCCTATATATGCTATGCTTTTTCCTATGCATAAATACCTATAATGAAGTTTAACTTACAAATGAGGCACAGTAGGAAATTAACAATAACTAATAATAAAATAGTACAGGTATAAGATTTTGTAATGAGCCAGGCATGGTGGCATATGCCTGTAATCCCAGCACTTGGGAGGCTGAGGCAGGAGGACTGCCATGAATTCAAGGCCTGCCTGGGCTATAGCGAGACTGTCTCAAAACAACAAAAACAAACTATTGGTGGCTTATGGAACTAAGGATGAGTAATAAATCAGGAACTGCAAGTTCCCTGAAATTTATACACTTAAAAATTGAGATGACAAGCCAAGCATGGTAGCACATGCCTATAATCCCAGCACTTGGGAGGTTGAAGAAAGATGATTATAGTGAATTTGAGGCCAGCATGGGATACATCGTGAGTTCAAGCCCAGCTTGAACTATTATAGCAAGACCTTCTCTAAAATAAAAAATTAGGATAAAAAAATTGGGATGAGAAAAGGAGATGTAAGCAAAATGGATGTGGGTTTTCTAGGAGCTAAAAAGAGTGCTATATTTTATTTATAATCTCTCTGTGCTTTTTGTGAATTTCCCAAACAAATTCTTGTGTAGAAAGGAAAACAAAATGTTTTTTAAAAATACCAAGTGTCTGCCAGGGATGGTGGCACATGCCTGTAATTCATGCTACTCAGGAGGCTGAAACAGAAGGATCTTTTTTTTTTTTTTTGTACTGGGGATAGAACTCAGGACCTTGCAATTGCAAGGCAGGTATGTTGCCACCAAGCCAAATCCCCAGCACCTGAAAGGATCTTAAATTCAACGTCAGCCTAGACAGCTTGGCAAGACCCTGTATAAATAAAATTAAAAGGGGTGGAAGTTGGGCACAGTGGCACACACCTGTAATCCCAGCCCTCAGGAGGTTAAGGCAGGAAGATCACTGCAAGTTCAAGGCTAGCTTGGGCTATATAGTGAATTCAAGGCTAGCCTGAACTACTAAGGGAGACCTTGTCTCAAAAAAAGAAACAAACAAAAACAGTGATGGAGATGTGGCTTAGTGTAGAGTCCTTGTCTAGTGTGTGTGAGCCCCTGGGTTCAAGCCCTAGTAATGGAAAAAATAAAAAGCAATTATATTTTTAGTTTTTAGTCAAAGTTTGTATATATATATTAGACATACAGTGTGATGTATTTTTAAAAATATTTCTATTGGTACATTTTAGATATACAATACAGTTAGTCTTTTTTTTTTTTTTTTTTTTTTT